CGCCGCCGCCCTGTGCCTTCGCGCCCGCTGCGCCTGGCCCAGCAGGCCCGCCCGACTACAGCCTGGTGGTGCGCGCGGCCGAGCGCGCGCGCGCCCATGACCAGAACCTGGCCAACCTGGCGCTGCAGGCTCTGCGTGAGCGCGGCCGCCACAGCCCGCCCTCGCCCGATCTCGCCGCCGCCGCGCGGGTAGTTCCCCGGGCCGCCGGCCTAGCAGCCTCCTCCCGGACTGGCAGCGCTACCTCGGGGGGCACTGTCGGGGAGCCTATCCGTCCGGGAGGGGCCTCCGAGAGGCAAGGCGCCAAACCCAAGGCCGGTTCGGAACCAGGCAGCGCCAGCAGCAGAGACGGGAAGACTACTGTGTGGATCTGAGGACGACCCCTCTCTGATTGTTCCCCTCCCTGCCTCCCTCGCCTGTAGGCTGTTGGTAGGGCTCAGAGGTCCAGTGGCAGCTAGCTGGAAGGGAAGGGAGCCAGGAACAGGTAGGCACTGAGTGGGCAGTGCCCGGTCTGACTGTAGTCCTGCCCACCCCCTCTCTGTCAAAGTTTACCTACCAGATGCCAGGACGCCTGCGTAGTTCCCTCCTTGCTGAGGGAGGACCAGCTGACATTCTGCAACCCAGCTGGGGTTTAAGGCGAAAAAAGAGGCTTCTACCCTTTCCTGGTCCTATTTCCCCTCAGCCTGGTATTGCTTCCAATTCTGCAGGAATCAGAACATGGGCTGGGTGCAGGGGGAATGGTAGAAGTAGAGGGAATGCTAGGGAAAGGAGCCCCACTTGCTGCATGAAGTGTGGAGGAGCACAGTAACACCCACCCCTAACTCCCTGTCCCTCTCCGGCATCTTCAGTGTAGTGTCAGAGGCTGGAAGTCAATACCCAACATAGCTGGGGCTCAGGAGGCTTGGTCTCTTCCCAGGCCCAGGGCATGTACACTCACACCCTTGTCTGAGCTTTTGCTGACACTTACACTGCCCCTTCCTCTGGGGACATATGAAGTTTCATAAAGACTTTGGGGCCTTGCCTTGCAACTTGCTGGGAGGCTGTGGCCCTGATAATGCTTGGGGAGTCCCAGGTTTTTGCCCCTCGCCTCTCTGCCCTTCATCCCCTCTTTCAGGTCCCTCCCTCATTCAGACAGCCTCTAAAATAAAGGGAGAAAAATAAAACTAACACTTGTTTATAACCAAGTGTATATGTGTTTATGTGTGTGTCCATCGCTGGTTACCAGGCTGTGTGAACATGTTCTGTGCCAAGCTTCCTGGGAGAAGTGGCTCCCAGACCAGCAGGTGGGCCTGACTGCCTGTACAACCCTTGAAGCACTTTAGCAGACAACAGACGCATGGTCTCCACCTGATGCCAGGTAGCATTGGGAGCGGGAATTTCGGAGGACCCAGATACATGTGGTAGAGATTCCAGGGGGCGAAGAAGTAGAACACCAACTCCAAGGAATTTCTGAGATTCAGTACCCAAAGATTGAGCCTACAGCCAATAGGGGCAGGAACCCAGAGTCATCAGGATACAGGCCCGTCTGCTGTGGCTGTGGGAGGGGTACAGAAGGGCACTGACAGAAGTCATAGGCTCTCAGTCAAAGCTAGCACGATCCAGTCTCATGATCCACCTATCCCATGGCGTGCAATCCACCTATCCCCCAGCCTCCTTCAGGCAAGACCAGCTGGACAACTCTTCCTGACCTGCAAACCCCTCTCTCTTTGATGGCCCCAGGCCATCAAAAGTTCCAAGTTCCAAGTCTGGCTGAGCTGTGACCCTAACCTAACTCCAGTCATATTCCAACTGCAGGCAGAGTCAGACACTTCTAGACCCTGACTGGCTGATACCTCTTCCCCCTCCTTGGCCCTGGCAGGTTCCCAGCCCAGCTGAATCCTTACTCCAGACTGAGCTTTGCCCCAGTGGGCTCTGACTCTGGCCAGATTCCACCCCCAGGAAGTCCATGATGCTGGAAGGGGAGCCCAAACAAGGGCAAATCCCAACCCAGGGAAGATGTCTATCCCAATAGGGACACAGACTGAGCTTTTCCATGTCAGGAAGGGTTCACATAACTGGCCGGTACCAGGTGCTGAATTACTGGCTAAGTCACTGTGTAGGCAGGACCATGTTGCTTAATTAATATCGTTGTGACCAGCGAGGTGAGAGACTGACATCTACAGAGAGGCACTGCTGCCTTTTTTTTTTCTTTCAAGTTTTTATTGTGAATTGAGTGATAATTTACATGGAAGAACATTGGTTTTACACTCATCATTTCATTGCAATGATTACAATCCCTTCTGTGCATCATCATTCAACAGTATTTGCTTCTGTTCCCTCTGGATTTTTTTTTTTGTGTGTGTGTGTGTGTGTGAGAATGTTCACAAAAACACTCAGGAATATATAATCATTTAAACAATCAAAGGGCACATTGTGTAAGCCTGCCTCCTGGCTGCCATCACACAGTCTTTCTCTTTCCATGATTCTAGAGTCCTCGGCTACTCTATCTCTGCATGCCATCACCTCTGCCTCCATCGTTGCCTCCACATCTGTGTCGCTGTTTGTCTGGATAGGGTCCCACATTATGCTCGTGCTCTTCTCCCTTGATGGTCCTAGGGTCCTCTGTCCCTGGAATAAGTACTCCCCCCTTTTTGTTACAAAACTTCTACCTTTACGGTTGTGACAGTCACAATTAGTCATGATAACAATTTATTCACTATTGAATCAAAAGAATCTTATCCCCATCTCCTTTCGCCAGACCCATCTACACAAGATGAAAACTATTCAGTGGGGATTCTATCTTCCTCCACATACTCTGAAACTAAACTCCCTATTGAAAACTTGTAAACCAGTCACTTCATGCCTTTATAGCCCCCCATTTTAGGTAGCCAATGTATAAATTGCCCATCCCTATCAACCTTGTATAAGGAGCACTGGTAGTGTAGTGGTTACAAATTGGGCTGTGAACCTTAAAGTCAGCAGTTCGAAACTACCAGCTGTTCTGCGGGAGAAAGATGAGGCTTTCTGCTCCTGTAAAGATTCACAGCCTCGGAAATCCTGTACAGGGTCGCTATGAGTCAGAACCGACTCCACAGCACATAACAACAACAACAACATCAACCCTGTATACAGAGGGGATAGGATTGATACTTGATGTGAAGATTCCTTTCCTCTCTGTTGGTATTTTGAGCTACTACATCTGTAAAGTATAGCTCAAGTTCATCAAATTGTAGCAATTTACACTTGCTTCCTTTATCAAAAATTGTTTTTTTTTATCTTCCTCTAGTCGAGTTCTGATCATCGTACTATCAAGGCTACAAGTTTGGGCATTTTTTGTGCGTCTCCCCTCACTTTCCCACTGTGCGTCTGTTTCGGGTGCTCATCCACAGATCTTTCCCCCAAATCTTTGCCTCCTGTGCACCAGTACTGCTCCTTCTAAAGCCCCTGACCCTCTGAAAAGACCATCAGCCCTCTGGCCAGCCCTGTTCCAGGCAAGGTGAACACTGAGGTCTATCCCTTAACAGAAAGTACTGACCCACATGACAGGTCACAGGGCACCTGCACCTCAAAGTTCAGCATCCTGCCAAATCCTATTTCTCACTTACCAGGGTCTTGCTGAATGGGAAACAGTGTGTATACTGTGGGAGCTGTCAGGGAGTGGGTCCTCACAGCAGTAAGGATTTGACATTGGAGGTTATCTGAAGTGACTTCAGAATTTAGACTCATGGGAGAGGAGCTGACTAGGAAGGCCTAGGTTAGCCTAATCCCACAGATGAGTATTTCCTAGATCTGTGGAATATGACACTCCTACTGGGAGCCCTGGTGTGGTGCTGTAGGATAAGCGATGTCGGCAGTTCAAACCCACCAGCTGCTCTCAGAAACCCTATATAGAGTCGCTATGAGTTGGAACCAACTCAACGGCATACAACAACAACAAAAACCTATTTAGAAAAAAGTTAAATCAAGAGGATGGAAGATAGAACACAGTCTTCTCAGGATCTATCTGAGAAGGAAAAAGAAAGTCATCTGAACCTCCATTCTGAAAACCCGCCCTGGGTGGTGGGAAAGCATTAGAGGACTTTAAGTAGGGGAACACCCTGGTTAGTCTTGTGTTTGGGGAAGAACATTCTGGATCCCACTGCTATATAGTGTTTAGACTATGTAGCATCTAGGAAAGGATCAGCTCCAGCTAAAGAGGAGAGCCTCAGGGTAATCTCAAGGAATCCAGACCCTCACTCCAGGCTGAACTTCCTCATGTTCCTTCGACAAAAGCAGCTTCAGGATTACACCCCATGGGGTGACAAGTGGAGGCCCATTTAACAGCCACTTTGAGGCTGACTAGTCCAGTTAACTATAGCTGTATCATTAATAACTCCATAAGTGAGCAGCTTAGAACAATTACTCTTTCTGTTTGGTTTGACTTCGTGGCTTGTGCTTGGAGTTGCAGTTAGAGGCTGGAGTTTTCTTAAATACTTAACTTCCTTAACAAATCTGGTAGTTACGGCTGTGACCTTTCCATGTGGCTTGGAAACTAGATTCCAAGAATGAATATCTCAAGGCTAAATTGTACTGACTTGATAACCTAACCTTGGAAGTCAGATCACCCCCACCATAGGTAGCCATGGATTTGCCTGGATTCAAGAGGAGGGAACAAAATCCCTACCTCTCAATGTGTCCACCTATATTTTAAGAGCATATGGGATAGGAAATCTTACTGTGGTCACCTTTGAAAATGCCTTCAGCCATTTGGACCCTGCAAACCTTGGTTAGCATGGTCCTCACTACTACAAAATGGAGTGTTCTTGTCCCCTGACCCTCCCTGCTCCACTTTGTTTGTTTTTTATCCAATCTTTTAAATAACAGGTCAGGGTCTAGGGTTGGTTTTTGTAGTCAAGGCTGGCCAGTGGCCCCTGGCATGCTCGAACTTCAGGCCTTTGGAGCAAATGTAAGGTTTAGTGAGGCTGTGTGGGGTTCCTGGTGCTTTGACGAAATGCCTGTGCACCTCGCGGCCCTCGCGTTGACCAGACAGCAGGATGCTCCCACAGCCCTTGGGAGAGTCTAGGGCTAGCTGATCAAAGGTGAGGATCTTGCCCACAGCCTTGAGGATGCAACTCTGGGTCTAGCTGCTCAGGTACAATATGAACACCTTCAGCTTGGACACCTCCTGAACTCCATCTGCATTATCTGTGATGGTCTCCATGACCACAGCTGTCTTGTTCTCCCGGCCAGAGAGCTTCATCTTCCAGATAATCCAAGAAAGGAACAGGTTGGTGTGGCTCATGAACAGCCACTTCAGCATAACTTGGTTGAACGTGGATTGGTCCAACTTGCCAGAAACCTGTACAGTTTGACCAACAACTGCAGGTAGATGTCCTGGGTCTCTTTGTAGTGAAAC